CTGAGTCTATCTGAGTCTACCTGAGACTATCTGAGTCTACCTGAGACTATCTGAGTCTATCTGCAGCAATCATGGAGGACAGGAGAGGAGAAATAACCTGGAGCAATCAAACCCCTTCACTGTTTGCATACTTTATTGTATGTTAGATATGAAACTGTTTAGTCATTAATCTACACACAATCACCCATGAGGACATGTCGAGTATTTAACAGTCAGATTTCACTATTCTACCAAATATAAAATATATAATATATAATTAAAAACAACAAGCTCTAGAGGTCAGATTCTGCCCCTATTGTCCACTATAAACAACATGGATCTCCTGGTGATTGTGATCTTTCTCCTTTATGATCTGAAGATGTTCTTCAACTCATGAACTCATTTCACAGCCTCTCAAACGTGGGTTATTAGTGACAGCAGGCATGATCAATGTTTGTGAAAGGGGCGTCACCACTCTATGTATTGATCTGTGTGTGTGTGTGTGTGTGTGTGTGCGTGTGTGTGTGTGTGTGTGTGCGTGTGTGTGTGTGTGTGTGTGTGTCTGTAGGCTCTGGATCTGCTCGCTCTGAAGCCGTCGGAGGCTCAGCGACAGGCGCTCCGGTCCAGACTACGAGCTGATCCAGCAGGGACGGTGGCCTTCACAGGTAGGACTCTGACTGTTTATTGTGTTATATCATGTTCTCATGTGTAGCAGGGTTGATGACACTGGTCCAGTGTCGAGTGACTTTAAACATCTTTTAGATAAAACCAAGATACTCTTTCTGTACTCAAACACAACAAAGAGACAACGCTCCTCTCTTCTTCTCTCCCCCTGTTGGTCACATGAGATCAGTTTATCTCTGTGTTCTCTGCGTGATGTTGTCAGACTCTTCTAGAAGTAATAATAAGAACATTACCAGTTTAGTGTCTCACTGCACCGATTACAGAAGATGTTAATGACAAATACAGGTTCAAAGGTTCCTCTTTAATAAAGTAACTTCAGTTATATTTATTATTGACGTTCAACCCTCTAACCACAGTGTTTGTGATGAGCAGTGTGTGTTTGTGACACTAGAAGCCCTGTGAATGTGTGTGTGTGTGTGTGTGTTGTGTGTTTGCAGACTTTGAGAGCCACATCAGGGAGCTGTTCAAGCCTCAGCTGGAGGAGCTGGCCGTCACCCAGCCGAGGTTCATGTCCAGCGACCTGTCCGGCTTGTTGGAGTCCCCCACCGAGCCGCGGGTAGGAAGTCTCTGCACCACAGAGACCAGCTGGTCCTACAAACACAGAACAGAGTTTAGGGAGCATGTCTTCATAGATATTCAAAGCAGAAGATGACATTTCTGTAATATCATTTACTATAAAGTGTCAACGTTAAACGGCAGCTTGTTGTTGTTATTATGAACGTTCCTAACGTTGTCACATGGTCAGTAATAATTAAAGATAAACTTTATATATATATCCTCTTTGCCTACATTCATCTTTACACATCAGCATTTTACAAAGTCAGTCAAATATGATACGGTTGAAGTCATTTTTCCTGTAAAAACATTTAATAATGTTAATGTTGATTTGTTAGTAATAATTATAACTTTAATGTATTAGAATAAGAAACATTGTGAGGCCATTCTTGTCTATTTTCACTGTTTCTACAAACGTTCATCTTCTGCATGTCAGGGTACAGATACCATGTTAATGAATACATACTTATTATCATTATTATTACCACTTAAACCACAAATAATACACATGAAGTCATTCTTAAATGGGCTCGGTGATCAACAATGAGGTTGTGGATTCAGTAAGAAGCAGATTAAGTAGATGAGAGTGTATCTACATGCAGCACGCGGCAGGAAGTGACATCACGGGTCTCATGTTTTGGTGATCAGCTGGTACGCTGATCTGAGCTGATCGGACGCAGACGCTCCGACATCGAACCTGCTGTCGCCCAAAGCTCCCAATCAGCCGGCTGTAAAGATCTCGTCCTCTGCCGCACAGCAATAATCAATAACAATCAATCACAGCTGTACAGGCTCTTATTCTGAAAAACAAAACCACTCAGTCATTGACATGTGAAAACACGAGGTCATCGGTCTGTTCTCTGTGTGCAGCCGTCAGCGTCAGACTCGGAGGACCTGGAAGAGATGGAGAGGCTGAGGAAGGAGCACATTGAGGCTCTGAGGGAGATCAAGAGGCTGCAGGTAAACAACAACAACAACAACAACAACAACAACAACACACCAGGGCCCCGTTCTTCGTACGTGGCTAACTGAGTTAGCCGGATACTTGTCAGGATAAGATGACGTAGATCAGGCTTTTCGGTTCCACGAAGCAAGTTTGGCAAAATCACCATGGCAACACATCCATTAGCTTGAAGCTGCTCCAGCGCAGGCTAACTGAAGGTAGCTGGATAAGCTGCCACTCCCCCGGAAAACATGGCAGCTCCTGTCATATATGGTAGTCTAATGCGCTTGCGCATATACCGGGGGTTATATGGGAGTTCCAGAAATGCATGTAAAGTGAGACACACGGTGATCCATTAAAGCAGCTGAGCAAACTAAGAAGCCTCTATTGCATTAATGTACAGCTCCCTTCCTCAGAGATCCACTGATGGAGGATATTAGTTAGATTAGCGTTTTATAGGGAGAGAGTTCTTCCACATCGCCAAGATCCGTTATCACATCACGAAGACTTCCTATACGAGCGCTATCCATTCTGCCCACAAGGAATCATTTATTTACAGACCTTCTGGAGCATACATTGAACACCACACGCTGGATGCAGCCTTGAGCTGTTCTGCGAGTGGTACATTGTTGTACAGTGTCGGCGATGCGGAGAACATGGGGAAAGCCGCTGCATGCCGTGCTGTTGGTAAAGTTTATTAGGCGCTTAATAAACTTATGGATGTGTTCATTACATCACCATGGCACATATTGTACTGACTCAGCATTCTGAGTAATGTGTGTGTGTTAGTGTTTACTTGCTCCCATGTCCTCTTGATGGCTGCGTTGCATACATGAGGGTTAAAGCACTCATAATGATATGACAGTGTTATTAGTACACCAGCATATCATTACTGTAGAACATGATGAAGGTGGACTCATGATAAGAACAGAGAGAATCACACACTATTGATCTTCACTGCTTCAGTTGATTGAATGTCTGATGATGAATAATACACACACACACACTGATCCGCCCACACACAGATTCACACTAGTTCTATATGGTGATCTACACATACATGTATATACACATATATGGTACATGATACATGAGGGCATACAGTACATATATCCTCATATTAATG